TTGTTTCCATATCAGATAATCAAATATCAAATATTTGTTTTTCTCTAAAGGAGTTTATGAGAAATGCTACTTATCCCTTTACAATTATAGCACACCCTAACTGTGCAGATGAGCTGACCTAACTATGTTGATTGAGCAATATGAGCATAGGTGTGTTTATTAAAAATAGGTTTCTATATATTATGTGTTATGAAGTTACATTGGTTTACCCATTGTCCATATTGTATAGTCTCATCTATAAAGGAACATTTGTATTTTCATTCAAAATAAAGGATTTATTCAAAAGTCAATGCTACTTTGTATTTCTAAAATTGGAATTTTCTTGAATTTCTTACCAAAAGCTTACCAGTCTTTTTTTTAAAAAAAGCCAAAACCATTTTTTCTGGAATGTAATGTTTTGCTTTTTATCTCATAAGGTTTTCATTTCTCAATAAATTTACACCCTTATACTGAACTTATATACATCCACATGTCTGTGGAAGTGAAGATAAAAATTAATTTGAATACAAGGGATTACAAGAACAGAGGCTGGAAAAAAATATTAGTTGATTCCTTTTTAAAATAAAAAAATGGTGACATAAGTTCACCTTCTATGACAAAAGTATGCCCAAACTTTTCATATTTATGCATTCATATTAGATGTAGCACTATACATTACTATTATTCAGCTTTTTAAAAACTATTGTGTATCTCCATCAAATACAAATATTTGTTTTCCCTTTTTAAAAAAAAAAAATGGCTGTGTGCAATCTCCTTTATTGTTTTTAAGGAAATCTGAAAAGGAAATAAAATATTTAAATGAATAAGGGAATAAATATTGTCTGTTGTCATATATTTAAGTAATGGATATATATAACAGCAAAGATGCAAAGTTTATTGACTGTTATCCATCTGTCAGTTTGTGAATGTTCATAATATATCTATGTTTCCATTTTCCAGATACAGATCAGCCAATGCTGACAATCCCTTTTGGAAGCTTCAATTGATGTGTCCAAAGTTTTGGTTATTCATCAAATCTGTCTGCAATCACCTGTCTTAATATATCAGTATCAACATTCATTTTTCGTTTCTTGCAATAATATATAAATTTTATGGATTAGATCCAAACTCAGAATAGATTCATTCATATGATGAACTCCAAAGCTAACTAATTGGCTACAGTTAAATACAACCAATGTAATTTAATTATTTCAGTTGCAGTTAAGCACAAGAGAAATTGAGACAAAAAAAAAAAAACACTTAGTAGCAGAACTGATTGCTGATAGAAAATTATAATGCTTTTTCCAGTTAACTGATATGCTTTGAAAGGAAAGGGTAAGGAAATGGAGAACTCTGGGATGTGTTCACCATACATAAGTCATGTAGCGCACTATCAGCTGGGTTAGATATAACTGGATAATATAATGGTCTCACAGTGGTACAATCATTAGAATATGTATATCATACCTTTAAGAGAGTCCAAACCTCTATTTGCAATGCATATGTGCTAAGGAATTATTTTCTCTTTCATTCTGTCATCCATTCATCAATCTGTTTATGCTGATGGGGATGTTGTCTGTGCAATCCTGTGTTACATGCCTCTTTTCTTTACAAAATAAACCCTCGATTCAGAATAAAAACCAAAGCCCCAAATCATGTTCATTTGAATCATACTAATCTTCATGCTGTACTCAATAGAAATATAAATTCAAGGCAGTCCAACTAGTCATTAGCAAAAAATAATACGTATATATACTTACACTCTCTATAAAATGATTTGGTAATGTGGATTAGGAAATTAGTAAGAAACTGTTGTCAGCCTAGTATATGCGTGTGTGTTTGTGTATACACACACACACACACACACAAGAACCCATACGTGTCGATGATGGCTGTTTTCAAGTATTTTAGTATTTGTTATGCATTTTAGAATGCATTTAAAACAAGTCATATGTAGAAAGGACTGGTTTCACATGAAACATTTTATCAAAATTAAATAGAAATTTGTACACTGTAGCTCATTATTAGAGTGTGCATGTATACATAGCAATTTTCCCATTCTCCTTGTACCAGTTACTAATGCTGGGCACATTCCATTGAGAAATTCTCTCCCCGTGGAGTCAGTTGGAACTAAGCCTGAATAAGATCAGATTGTCTGGATGTATTCCAGCTAGAAGAAGCATTTTTCACCCTTTGTCCTTCTGTAACAGAACAGATGAATTCAGACAACATATATTAGGCTTTTTTTTTCCTTGTAAAAATGTAGTCCCAATCCAAAATGTTTGGAAACATCTTATTTCCCATTTAGCTCGTGCCAGTTTGCAAGTTAAAGGTCAAAGAGCAAAGACATCAACTAGTACAGAGTAAGAAAATTCAGACAGCAAAGTTTTTTCTCTTTTTCACAGAAGACAATGTTTAACTCAGTAATGACAATCAACAGATCAATGAAGTTCAAGGCAAGCTGTTCATTGTATCAAAAGCTACCTCCCCGGAATCCTAGCTTTCATAAAAAGTCAGGTGTCTATTTAGTGGGGTGCATTCTTTCTAAACACTTTTCATAAATTCCTAGCCCAGTGACTGTAAAAAGCCTGTCACTGCGAGAAGCAGCTCCTAAAATCAATATAAGAGGTCTGTCAGTTGCTGACTTTTCTCTAGGAAAAAAAATTAATATGTAACCTGCTCTGCAGGTCACATGAAAATGACAATACTGCTGTTAGCATAAAATTACATAAGATGACATAATGCCAGGTAGTCCCATGGGTTCTTTCCATGACTTAGTGCACAGCTAAATGCCAGAGGTCTTGCCAACCCTTTGAGAACTAAGATGAAGACTACATTGTGTGAAGAGGAGGGAAGATGAACAACAGCCAGGCAGCATCAGATGTTGCTTTCTCTTCTCCTTGATAGGGTTAACTATGCCTATAAGTGTCCATATTCAAAAGCAAGTTCTGTACTCATGCAGAATAGTATTTAAAAAAAACTTTAAAAGATGAGCTTTTTAAAAAATAAAAATGAAGCCAACTGTTAGATAGAAGAGTTCTATCTAGTCCCACAACCCCATTTTCCTATTGCTCTTAGGCTGGAGAAGGACCAACGCTTTCATGAAAGCTGAAGGTAGTGTGATAGAGGGACTGTTTCCAGCAGTATCTCTTTCTCTTCTATTCATCCCCTTTATACTGCTGTCATTTCTAATCAACAGAGCTCAGCACAGAAAAGCCCCACAAAACTAGTGAGCAGAGACTATGTAATCCATAGGCAGTATTGCCTCCTACTAGCATATGGTATTTGAATTGCTGCAAATTATATGTATCTGTCTCCAGCCAAACTGCAGCCAAGTATTGAATTCTACCCACTACATTTCACAAAGGTACGATGCACAGCCCTCCAAGCATAGTACCAAAAAAAGGTCACTTGCATGATAAGAACGTAATGCCACTCATCAAATGCTCTGCCATGTTTGCTGGCAGAATTTAAAAAAAAACAAAACAGTTCACACACCCACTTTTCAAGAGTGTAAGGGAAGCTCATTATTTGTTAATAGGACCCATGGGGTCTACCAATAATGAGATCAATAGTGTTGGGAGAAAAAGAGCAGCACAGACGTGGGAGACTGATAAAATGGCTTGGCATAGCACCAGCTGAAGACAAGGAGGCAAAGTTGAAGAACTGTCACTACACATTCGGTATGGCAATTAAAAATAAATAAATAAACCCAGAAATCAACTGGAAAATCTATGGTAACCTTTTATTGTATTATCCCCAATGGGGCTATTTACTAGAAATAGCCACATTGTAATTTCGGTGTTCTGTCTAGTATTGTGATGGGCTGATTCAAACCCAGGGTTAACAACTGCCTTCCATTTATCTGCCAATCCATTTGACCATGCCAAACCCATTCAGGCTTCGTCTTCATTATGCTACTACGAAGTAACATAATAAAATGGGCCAGCCTGGACTATCTAATGTGTCCTGGAACCAAATTAGAAGCAACAGTGATGGGAGAAGAGAACTATGGCATTGAGGGCTCTGTAGATCTGGTTTAGGAGTTATAGAATGTTACCTTTAAGTAAAAGCAGAATCTGTGCACTAATACCATTTCAATCAATATTATTTTCCATTCTGAAAACTCATCTGATAGTTCTCAAAGAGACACTGATTATATAAACTTAATACTAATCTTATGTTTCTCAGTAACTTTTAATGTTATCTGATTGCATTCTTACTTCTGGAATTTGCTGCTTTCTAGTCTGGTTTCAAAATAAGGTTTCTGAGAAGCTTATGGGAAGCCTGGGACCAGCTTGCCTGATACAATTCTGGAGAAAAGAGGAAGTGGACAGGTGAGAAACCAATAAATGCTAAACCAATCAGTAAAAAGGATACTCTCTATATAGTAATGAATATAAATGTGTGAAAACATTGAGGACATAGCTCTGAACAATTGTATAAAACACAAAATGAATATATTATTAAGGCTGTTACTATATTGCAGATATTTTGGCCCCTTGTTTGTTGGAAAATGGCTGTCCAAACAGTCAGAATTCCTGTATGTCATCCTGATCTCCCACTTGATAAAAATTAGATGTAGGAGTATAGGACTATAGCTGACAGAAAGCAATCCTCTTTGGAGACAAAGCTGTTTTGGATCTTCACACTTCCTGAAAGTTCCGTTGTGATTGTTGTGTTTTAGTTACTCTATCTTTTCTCTTTAAAAAATGCTTATATGTTTTCTTTTCTTTCTTTTTTTTAACCTCACACAAAACTATTTCAAAGAGAAAAAGAAAGAAAGAGAAAGAGAAAGAGAAAGAGAAAGAGAAAGAAAGAAAGAAAGAAAGAAAGAAAGAAAGAAAGAAAGAAAGAAAGAAAGAAAGAAAGAAAGAAAGAAAGAAAGAAAGAAAGAAAGA